TTGGTTTTAATTGAAAACTGTCTCGTTAAATTTCAAGGAGATCTGTGCACATGCAGAGTAGAACCCTCCAAGTGTGGGGCTGGGGTATCCACTAGCTCACGCACCCCTATAGTCACCAGAATGGAGGTGTGCAGACAGCAGGACCAATGAACAGATACCAAAAGAAAAGAATGTCCACACCTTTATCTCCATGGTTCTGCCAGGCATCTGTGGCCACTCCGATCCTTCCTCCTCTTGGTCTCACCCAAGATGGCGGCTCCTAGAGCAGCTGAGCATCTTGAATTAGAAAGCAATGGATTTCTTGCTTCTGCTACAAATTTTCCTAGCTGTAAGCCTTCCAACTTTCTAAATATTCCTTTATATGTGGTTCATATAAAGGAGTTCTGGGACCATCCTCTGAGCCTGCTTGGTCCTGTATTCTGCGTTGTTGCTGACAGAGGTCCTTACTGCACTTCCACCCGATCTGCCATCTTGTTTGTTCTCCCTCTTTACTCTTTTTAATGTAATCATTGTAGCTAATAAGTTTTTCCCTGAGCTCTGCTCTTATTTCATCCCATAAATTTTGATATGCTATGCTTTCATTTTCATTCATCTTAAATTATTGTTTAATTTCCCTCATTTATTGTGTCGCTCATTGGCTAAGAAGGTGTTGTTTAATTTCCGCATATTTTTGAATGCTCTAAATATCATTCTATGATTGATTTCTAGTTTAATCCCATTGTGGTTGATGGAGATGCAGTGAAATTCATGAGAGCTAGAAGTTGAGAGTACGGATTTCTTTCTCCACGTCTCACATTTTCTGCTATTCACAGGGTGCAGTATTACCACTTTTCTATTGCTTGTTTTAGTGGGAAATATTTAAGTTTTCCTTCTCTGGTAGATTTCAGCTTTATGCAGGGTAAAGCTTTCTCGGATTTTATTGTATGTCATATGATTTGTATCTTTTAAAATTCATGGAGATTTATTTTTTGGTCTAACTTATGGTCTATCCTGGAGAATGGTTCATGTGCACTTGAGAAGAATGCATATTCTTTTGTTGGGTAGAGTGTATGCATGTCTATTAGTCCTAGCTGGTTTATAGTTATTCAAGTCTTCAATTTCCTTATTGAGTTGTTGTATCCATTATTGAGAAGAGGTATTGAAGTCTCCAACTTATCTATAAGAGGAATATCTCAAATGGATGACTTATTGATGTGCTAGGTATCTATAACAGAAATAGTTCAAATGGGTGACTTTAACAGAAATTTATTCTCCCACAGTTTAGGAGGCTAGAAGTTCAAATTTAGGGTACCAGTTCTTTCCATGTCAGCTCTGGGAGAACATTCATGTCGTCAGTCTTCCAGTGGATCTAGGCATTTCCTAGTGCAGGGAACTTGGGTCCAAAGGACATGCTCCATTCCCAGCTCTTCTTTCTTGGTGGTTGTAGGCCCCTCTAATCTCTGCTTGGTTGTTTAATCTCTTTTATATTCCAAAAGAGATTAACTCCAGTTACAACCTAATCCTCATTAACGTATCCTGCCTCATTCACATAAGGTTAATATTTACAACACATAGGATAATTGCATTCGTTTTTAACGTGGAGGAAAATTGCATAATACATGAGAATCATGGCCCAGTCAAGTTGATACATATTTGTGGGGGAGGGTACAAGCCATAACACCAACTGTCATTTAGACCTGTTGATGTCTTCCTTGAACTCTGTTGATTTGTATACTATGTATTTTGGGGCTCTGTTGTTAGGTGTGTAGATGTCTGATAGCCTCTTAAAGAATTGACCTTTCTCTATCTCAATAGATAATGTCCTTTGTCTTGTAATAATATTTGACTTAAAAATCTGTTTTTGTATGATATTAGTATAGCCACTCTACTTTCTTTTGGCAACTATTTGCATGAACTATATTTTTCATTCCTTTCTAGCCAGTTGCATCTTTGTATCTAATCTGACTCTCTTGCTCTCTTGTAGAAGTGTGTCATGTATTTGTGTCCATACTGCCACTCTCTGCCTTTTGACTGGAGAGTTTAAAAGGACTTGCTTCTGCCATTTTACTATTTGTTTTCTATATGCATTATATCTTTTTTCTCCCTCAATTCCTTCATTACTGCTTTCTTTGTTTTGAAATTAATTTTCTTAGTAATTTTCCTGGATATTATAATTGATAAACCAACTAGTTTGAATTAATTCCAATTTAGCTTCAGTAGTATATAAAACAATGTGCCTGTACAGTTCCATTCTTCCCCCTGATGCTGTTGTCACCAGAAATTGCATCTTAGCTGTATATTGTGTGCTCATTGACATAGATTTGTAATGATTGATTTATGCATATATGAAATCATATAGAAAAAAAGAGTTACAAATCAAAACTACAGTAATACTGACTTTCATATTTATCTTTCTTTGTTTTCTTTTTTATTATTTTTTAAGGCTTTATGTTATTATCTAATGTACTTTGATTACAGCTTTAAGGACTCCCTTTATCACTTCTTGTTGAGCTCATCAACTAGTGATGACCTGTCTCAGTTTTTGTTTATCTAGATATGTCTTAAATCTTCTACAATTTTTTAAAGATATTTATTGTAGTAAAATATATATGACATTTGCCATTTTAACCATTTAAAATTTTTATTGTGCTAAACATTTTCCTTTTTACACTTTTGAGTATACATTTCAGTTATGTCAAATTACATTTACTATGGTGTGTAACCATCACCATGATCTATTTCCAAAACCTTTCATCAGTCCAAACAGAAACTCAGTATCCTTTAAAAATAGCATTTCATTCCCCTTCCACCGCCCAGTCCCTGGGACCACTAATCTACTTTGTTCTCCATACATTTGTCTACTCTCAGTATTTATAAAAATTCTCCTTAATTTTTGAAGAATTCTTAAGTAACAGGGTTGCTTTTGCTTTTTCTGCACTTTAAATATGTCATCTTGCTGTCTTCTGTATCCCAGGGTTTCTTATGAAAAATCCACTTTCAATCTTACTGAGGGTTCCTTGTACATGACGACTTTCTTCTCACAACTTTCAAGAGTCTCTCTTTATCTTCCTACAGACTGACTATAATGTGTTTCAGTGTAGATCTCTTTGGGTAACCTACTTGGGGTTCATTGATATTCTTGGATGTATAGATTCATATCTTTCACCAAATTAGAGAAGTTTTCAGCCATTATAATTTCAAATACTCTTTCTCATACTTTCTGTCTCTCCCCTCCTTTTGAGACTTTAATTTTCTTTCTTTTCTTCTGAATGGAAAATTTCAATTGACCCATCTTCAGATCTTCTGTTAAACACTTTTAGTGAGTTTTTTTTTTTGTTGTTGTTCTTTTCATCTGTTATTGTACTTTCCAGCTCCAGAATTTCTGTTTGGCTTTTTTTTGTGACATTTCAAAACTGTTTTATGTAAAAACTGCATTCTTTGACATGTGTAATCACTAAAGTCTCTCTGTTCTGTTAGCTTAATGAGTTGTGCTAGTGAATTCAAACAGTTTGGGTAATGTCCCCAAGCATTACTTTTATGTCTATTTTACATATGAGATAACTGAGGCTCAGAGGAGTTATTCAAATGTATCCAAGGTTACACAGTTTAGTACTAGAGCCAGGATCTAAGCCCAAATGGTATTTTGACTGAGCCTCTTTCAGATGGTGATGCCATGAGAAAGCTCATGGCCCCGCCCCCTAGGGATTTCAGAGTTTCCCAGACAGTCCAGACAGTCGTAGGTACTCAGTGCTATTTGAGAGGCACAGAGGGGTAAGGAAGTACAAGAAAAGCAGTAACCATTTCCCACATCAGGGACCAGGGAAGCTGCGTTGAGAAGATTAGCAAACTGAGGGAGCAGTCGCTGGAGAAGGATACCATGTTTGGTAATGTGGAGGGTCAGAGAAGACCCCCTGCAAGGGAACATCCCCTGTGAGATGGATTGGCAAAGTGGCAGCATCAATGGGCTCAAGCATAGCAATAATAGTGAGGTTGGCCCAGGATCAGGCAGTGTTTTGTTCTGTGCCAACTCGATGGAACCTAACAACAACAACAACAACAACAACATTACAGCAACATTCAGCTGTCATGGTACATTGGCTCTCTGCTGGGCTCTTCAGACATGTGACCTCAGTGAGCTCTCACCAGGTATGTCCCTGTAGTAAATTTGAGGCTCAGAGAGGTGAAGCAAATTGCTCGTCACATAGCTCAGAGGTTTTGATTGAGATTGTAAACCAGGTTTGTGGGACTCTAAGGGTTGTGTTTTTCTAACACTTCAAGTATGACTCTGTTGATCCCTCCCCTAGAGGATTGATACTCTGAACAGGCTAAAGGAAGAGACACTTTCATGAGGAGCATGTGGCATCTTCCCAACTTGCAGGAAATAATTTAGGGTGGTGGACCCCAGGATAAACTACCTAATTATTCTACGTGAGGTAATACATGGTCCTTGTGAGTCAGGCCAAATGCTTCTTGGAGTCTCCTTAGTTGGGATGAACAGGGAGACACTGTCTGTCCTTGATTGGCCACACTGAGGTAGCCTGACAGTGTTAGAAATATCACTGACCTCAGAGTGTAGACCCTGGCTCTGCTGCTTTGTTATGGAATAATGTTGGGTAGGTCATTTCCCTGCACCTTGGATTGATCATCTGTAGGGTTACCAACTCATCCTGGGCTGCCAGAGACTTCCTTGGTTTTAGCACTGAAAGTCCTGTGCTTCACGAAATCCCTCAGACCCAGGAAAACCCAACTCAACAGTGAGACAGAGATACTATGAGTACTTTCTACAACACGGTTATTGTGAGGAATAGGAAGAAGATAACATAAAAGCACCCAGGGTGTGGTTGAGTTCCATTATAATTTATTTTAAGTGTTGCTTTTGCAAAGTGCAGGGAGGGTCACTAAAGAGAATGAATGATGTGCCCAATAGGTAACACTTTGACATATAGCTTTGCTTTTCATGTGGCACCTGAGAACAGGACCTGGAGAGCTTTCTGTTAGTTCCACTTGACCTTTTCTACCAGCTATCCTTCTGGAAACATCGCCATGTGTCAGATCCCCACGTGCTGCAGAGGGAGAGCCATCACCTGGCTCTTTAATGACACGCCTAACATGTCCTTCCTGGCCCTGTTCAACGCTGAAGGCCAGGGCTGTGTTCAGTACAATGCAAAGACCCGGTGAGTAGGTTGTGGGAGCTCTGGCCCCATGGAAGTATCTCTGGGGGGTGACAGAGGAGAGCACTAGGTGTCAACTAAGAGTTTCTAGGAAAAGTAGGAACCTTGCATTGTCCAGAGGTATAGGAAGATAGGGAGATGGGACTGAGGCAGTGCCTACAGGGAAGTAGGTACTTGTAGGTCAGTCTCTCACTTCCTAAATCCATACTGCAGCCAATTAGAACAGCAGTGCCCCAAGCTCTACCCCCACCCCTTTGGTACCTCCATGATACCTCACCCAATGATGAAACATATATTCAAGAACTTGATTGTTGCTTAGGCTCATAGAACACTTCTTTCATGGAGAAATGTTCTAGACCAGGAATGGGTGAAGAAGGAAGAGGCTATGGACCCTCTGTGGAGTCTTTAAGAGAAAGTCTTGCCAGCCAAAAGTTGGTTTTACCCATCTTTTCATCAGGAACTTAGACTCAATGACTTATTTGTGTATTACAGATGCTCCCACTGCAACTTTGGTGTCCTGTGATCTTGCACACTCACAATCCTGACACAAATTCCACTTCTTCTCCTCTTGGGTTTGGCCTGAGTCCCCACCATCTCCCTCAGACCTGCTCTTACTTATAGAGTCCCCCAATATCATCACATATTAAGGGGACTTAGACCATATTAGGCTGAAGGAGGAAGGTAACATGCAGAACTGCAAGGTTCCTCCAACCCCAGATAGAGGATCAGAGCCTTTCCTGGAGAAGTAAGAGCTTCCTTCCATGGCCAGCAGTAACTACCTTTCACTTCTGTTCTCTCCTAGCTGCCCATACGTCTTGGTCTTTGATGAGGAAGGTGGGACCACCAATGACTACAAGGGCTACATAGTCCACAAGTGGAACTGGTCTTCTAAGACAGAGACGTTGCTCTCCCTGGAATACAAGGTAAGAGCAGGCAGCACAGGTGGACAGCAGTGAGCACCCTCACCATGGTGGCCTTCTCTGAGCTACTCAGCATTAAAAGCTACAGGGCTACCTATAAGATAGGGGTTCTGCCTTCCAGGTTGTCATAGTCTCATGCAGAGGTTCCCAACTAGTAGGTAGTGGCCCAGGGCTGCCTGACATGGAATTTTCACTAGTGTACAGCAACTATTAACTGCTATACTGATCTTTCTTGGTAATATTCTTCTTATTTCAATGATTAATATTATTTTCTGTAGTTAAAATGTCCTTTATTTTATAAAGGAATAATTATAGTATCTATACATGCCAACACTCAAACTTTATTCAATAATTCATCAAAGATTTATTTAAATAATTGGTTAATGTTGAATTATTATTAATATTAAATGACTTAATAAACTTAATGTATTAACAAAATAATTAAATGTGCTAGTCATAGCACAAGGGCTTCTATCATGGAGGGCAGCGGTTGAACGATGTGCGACAACTGCACAGACCTGGTGGAGGTGTTAAATGACACCCAGACCTCGGAGCGGCGGGGTGAGAGGTATCTGGAGATCAGGTCAATGGGGAGACGCTGCCTAGCAGAAAGAGACTGCAGGAGCTGGCCAGGTTGTCCAACTTACCCCGGAAGTGAGAGCGCCTTCCTAGCCTAACCGTTGGATCCTGGCTTTGAGGCGGGGTCGACCAACTTAGAGACCCACAAGCCCAGCCCAAAGCATCTCACTACAACCCAGTCACCCCTGCTGCGCTTCTGCCTCTTGATTGACATCCAAGGACAGATATCCCACCTTTGAGCCAGACTTAAGGGCCCTAGCACAAGGAGACTCCTATTTAACAGCAACCACGCAACCACCACTCGTCTGTCTGTTGTGCTGTGGTAGTTTGAATTGCTGTGATTCTGAGGGCTATGCCACCGGTATTTTAAATAACCAACAGGGTCACCCATAGTGGACAGGTTTCAGATGAGCTTCCAAACAAAGACA